GTTTAGAATGGGCCAGATGTACCGCGTGACACCGTTCGCTGCGTGAAAAGCAACGTTTTGCAGTACGTGCAAAAGACTATAAAGTTATGTTGCTATGCAACCAATCCCGAAAGTCTTTGTCCCCAGTAATTACAGTCAAGGCACTCTGAAACAAGATATTCGCTTGTTGTATTTCTTTTTCAATTAATCGTGTTTTGTTTTACAAATGCCTTGTTGAATTTAGCGTTTTTAAATTAGTGAAACCTGCAGAATTTGTCTTTTTAGATGGGACTGAATGTATCGTTAGATTCTATTTATGTCAATCGATGTGTATTGAACTGAATTCACTTGTGAGCAATCTAGTTAAGATTACCTTAGGTGTTAGTCAGACTAAAGAAGTAAGAGCACCCTCAAAGATTCTCGTCTGTTTGTTTTGTAATTCTGTTTTTAAGTTATCCATCATCCCATTTTTTGTCAGAAAAAGAAATCGTGTTACATACTTTGGGGCCGTGGTTGCGTGATGAGAGTGACGGTCAAATCCTACTATTTTGTCTGACAAAAGTGTCCCAAGATTTGGCTTTAGGTGTTTTTGACTAGCTGCTTTCCATCTAGTATATCTCTTCAAAATTAGGGACAGCCGCGCAGATAACCCTCGTGTAGTTTGCGTTAAATTCAGTAAACAAAGATGAAATTTTCAGGCGCAGTCATTATTCAGAGAAATATTGATAGATAGATAGATATGTCGAATTAAAGCTGTATCTTGAAATACGGGCAGTATGTTTTTCAATGCCGTTGTGAATGACATTTTTTGTGAGCAAACATTTTTGGTGTGAAGTAAGATTACTTTAAAAGTCAAAACAACTGTATAACTAAATACAGATAAAACAAACATAACTACTTAACAATTAGCCATACACCCTAGTTATTCCTATTTCTTTTTCCATCCCATCGATAAAAAGAAAGGCGGAAATTAAACGTCAGAAAGATGCAGTTTCCGAGTTCTATCAATTTCTATGTTAAACAATGATTTCGAATGATTTGCTGTTGGAGTTCGCCATCAGTCAGAGGCCTGGTGGTTAAAGTGATTGATTCGCAATCTCTGGGTCGTGGGCTCGAATCCCGTCACCGAACATGCTCGCCCTTTCAGCGTTATAACGTGACGTTCAGTCTCACGTTTCGTTGGCAAAAGAGTAGCCCAAGAGTTGGCAGTGGGTGGTATTGGCCAGCTGCCTTCTCTCTAATTTATCTTTTCAAAATTAATGGTGGCTAGCACAGATGGTCCTTGGGTAGCTTTTAAACAAAACAATAAACCACCAGTCAAACGATTTCAAACACTATTTCATGGTATACTGTTAAAGTTATCCACCAGTCAGCGTTCAGTAGCGATTTAAAACGCTATTTCGTGGTACTGTTGGAGTTCTCTACCAGTCATTGTTCAGCAGCAATTTAGAACTATTTCATGGTGGCCTGTTGGACTTCTCCATCAGTCAGTGTGCTTCATTTTCTCCTGACAGGTCTTCTAAAATGATTGAGAATGAGAAAAGAAATATATATATGACTAACACAAACACTAGAATACGTATTGGCGTTGCTAGAGATTTGGTGATCTTATTATTTTCAGTGAAATATTTGGAAAGCGAGAACCATGAAACTCTGTATATCAGTAGTAGTCTTGAAAGTTGCTAATGGTGGTCTGATAATCTAGTTTTTACCACGAATGTTTATAAATTGTGCAGATACTGTAAAATATTTCTCAGAATGTTCCTATGTACAAGTAACATTTAAACGCACATGTGGAGAATAAGAAATTCGATATCGTTGTAGTTTCTTTCTTTTTATGTGTGTATGTAGGGGTCAGTGAACAGATTCTGATAATAACTGATAATAATACTGAGACATACAACTATGGAAGAGATGTGCATATGTGTATGTAGTAAGTTATGAGGTTTCCACAGAAAATTATCATTACTTTGCTATGGAAACTAACTTGTAATTATTGCAATTAATCTTACAGGAAACGATTACAAAATTAATACAAAAATGAAATATTTAATTTCTTAAATGCTAATATTCTGTGTCGCCACCTCTAACATACTCAGTAGCCTGTTTTTTTTGGTATATTGTATGTCTGCATTTTCTCAACCTCTAGTGTAATTTGGTTCCATTTTTACTGAAGCTGTGTCCAGAGGCTTTCTTTAGTACAGTTGGTACTGTTACAAAGCATAGAGTCCAGCAAATACCACATTTGTTCTATGGGGTTCAGGTCTGAACTTTGTGGCGTCCATTCCAATCGCCGGAGACTTCATGACCCTTCTTTCTTTACCCAATAAGCTCAACATTTCTTGGCAGTAATTAGAGTCATTATTGTCTTGAAATGCGAAATTCTGTCCAATAAGCTTCTTTCCGGTAGGGTAAGACGTGATGGGCTTGTACACTGTGGTATTTATGTTGATCATGAATTATTCCATCATTTTTGTGAGGATTGCTAACACTATTAGCATATATTGTGTGGTAAACTATCACAAAGTTATTTGCTTGCTTGACTGTTTGTACAAGGCATTCTTTCGGCAACCTCTCATTCACTCTTCATTAATTGGAACTAAACAGCTCGTATTTACACTTGTCTATTCAAAGAACTTTGTGCCAGTGTTCCAAAAACCAGGATATATGTTTCGCAAAACCTAGTCTTTTTGCACAGTAAGGGCCCTTTTTATTTTATGCTATTCTTCCGAAAGGTCGCATTCTTACAACATTCTTGAGATTATTTCTTAAAATTTTATCTCTGTGCGATTTGTTAATGTCATCAGCAAGGTTTTCGTAATTTTCTTTACTTTTCCTGCATGAGAATTGATTTTTAAATGTATTATTTCTATTTATGTGAGTTTTGTGTTGTTGTTTTCTCCATCCCGGGTCGTGTTTGATGAGGGGTTTCCTTATATCTGCACTGTGTTTACTTCACAGTACTAGGTGAACAGCTGAGGTTTTACGCAATTTTTCATAAACTCCAACCAGCATCAAGTAAAGTTCTGACTCTGTTAAAGGGTGTTAATTCTCTGTTTTGGTATTTTAATGGTAACACACAACACTGTTAGTTGTAGTTGAAATATTTGGAAAGCGAGAACCATGAAACTCTCTATGTCAGTAGTAGTCTTGAAAGTTTCTAATGGTGGTCTGATAATCTAGTTTTCACCAATAACGTTGAGTCCAGTTGCTGTAGGTACCCCACAATGGTATGCGCCTTTGAAAAAATGTCCGGGTTAGTGTATTTATTAAACTATTCTCTGTACAGTAATTTAATTAAGCATTCTGAATAAAGAGTGAGTGGGATAGGGTTTACATGGTTTGCAAAGATTAACATTGGGTTTTACGTGTTATACCGAGTGTGAGCGTAAGTATTACTTGCTCTAAAGATAGTGTAAATGGGTTTTACGTGCTATACCGAGATTGGGATTGGATTTTACATGCTATAGCGAGAAGGAGATATTGGTTTTTACGTGCTAATTGAACCTATTTATTGTACTCTTTAATATATTAGAGAGAGAACGACGACAGTGTCACTGTGATTTTGAGTTTCTAGAGTCCATAGGGTTTTTAGTGTTGTGAATGTATGCTGTGTTAAAATGATCTGAATATACTTTGATAATTCTTAGTGTTTCCAGATAGAGAAAAGATAATAAACGATATGTATCTTTATTTACATTCGCTTAAAAGAGAAAAAGCCAAAATGTTACACTACAGTTAGATGAGAATTACACGTGCAATGAACAGCTGATAGATGTGCCTGTTGCAGGTAACCAAAAAACGTCCTGGCCTTCTTCCAAGTGTAGTAAGCATTACGGGTTTGCAGTTGTCCCCAGGCAAGCCGTGCAGAGTCGTGTGTCTCCCCCTTTCTGACTCATTGAATCACCGTGTGGTATAGATATTGCCTCCCACACGAGGTTCTTCACGTTGCATGCACCGACTATTTTGGCGGGGTTTGTAGGCAGGCAGCCAGTCCCATGGTGTTTGTATCTGTAACCCTCCTCACTGTCTATCTACCCTAAGAGGAGTCGTCTGTGCCTTTCCCGACGTCTTCATTTATCAGTCTCTTAAGCCGTCTTATACTTATAGCAGTCTTTACATTTAATAATTTATAGTTAAACCACTCGTAGATTCGATGAACTTAGTTATTTTGAATTTATTATAACACTTGCTTGATGGTTTGTGTTTCCTAGCGAAAATATAGCGTTGATATGCAGAGTACGTGTCGATATGTGGATCACAAGCCCGAGGTGTTTGTTCATTATCGTTGAGGGAATGAGGTCCGACAGCGGGTTTCTATATCCGTACCTTTAGAATAACAGTGAGCGACATACACTCTACGCGTTTAAATGTTAACGGTAGTGTTAAGCAATCCATTTTTAAAATAGAAGCATCCCTTGTAGTCATGGAAACAGTAGACGATTTGCGATATGGGGATATGCTTTTATGCTGCAAGTTTAAATACTGCGTTTCCTTGCCGTCGGGTGATATTTGATTAACAAGCGATGTGTAAACAGCAGTGTTTGTGTGTTTATGACATCCACATCCATAGAGCAAGTATTCGTGTATTTCTCGCATATTCACGCAAATAATCTTTATATTTAACGACAGATTGTTCTCTGTGGCGTGTGACTGACCAGAATGGTCACTTATAATTTAGTTTTGTGGTGTCTATAAGCTGTTTCAAAAGAAATTGAACATGTTTTCAACCCAAGAAGCAATGGATAAAGTTCTAGCAGAACTAAGAAACAATGATCGGTTCTTAAGGTTACGTATGCTCTATGTCTTTCATTGAACAGAAATCAACTCCACATGTTTAATTTCACTAAGCTCATTTATCTGTTTACGTTTTCTCATCTCATGTTTATGTTTTTATGTGTTCTATAAATTAGTTTTCAGAGCTTGTCATTCCAGATTGTTAGGCGGATCTTATAGCTCGCGATAACTTAATCGTACTGTCCAATACTTCTGCTAACAATATATCTTCTGTTTTCTTCCAGCTTTGGAAAAAGGACAGCAGGAGGTGGACGCCGGGTAAATGAGTGCCTTATTTTGGAATCGTCCGAAATGATTGCGGTAAGCCATGTCCAATATATAATATCAGCAGTAAAGGAACAATGCCACATCGAATTACAAGCTAAATTATTTAGCCTGTATCAATCTGTTTTTAGCCAGTCGTATAGATTAATACTGAACGGAATTTTGGTAAATAATATGAAACTTAAACAATAAATAATAATAAAGTGAATCTCAAATTTCGTCATGTTGGCTAATAACTCCCCACTCACTGTCATTTTCAGAAAAGAGGCTGGAGACAAGTATATATTGTGAAGCATGATGAGGAGATTTGTTTTTCAGAACTACTGTTTTTTAGCCTTCTCACTTTTTAGTTTACCAGTGGTGAGACATTGATATCTGAGAGTGTTTCTTTATGAAGAAAAATAATAAGTAATACTTTATAATTTCACTGTATCTTTCTTTATGTAATTATGATTTAATAAGTAAAAAATGCGAACTTAAAATGTATATTTTTGAGGTGTTAAAAGGCAGATGTTAAAATGATGTTGGAAGAGCTAAGGAAGGAACCAGCTATCCAAATAATAAGCATGGGTCCGGCCACTTTGTAAATGTAAATCTAGTAACTTAGAACTTTCTACGATCGTGTAACTTTTCGTTTGACTTTTTACTTATGATATTCCAAAGCACACAGGATCAACAGAAAATAGTTAGCATCAGAAAAGAAACCCGGTAAGCCCAGCGTTTTCGGAAAATGGTCCCTATTTTATCAGGGTGAAATGATAAATATACTTTATTCTTGTTAAAATGGCGATGAATTCCAATAACTTGTCCGTTTTTTTGGTTGTGCAGATTCAGATTGCCTTCAAGTAGCGGTGAAATATGTTTGGTGTTATATATAGTGTATTAACAATAACCTCCAATCAGAACAAACCACTTTATACTTTGAGTAAAAATAAAAATCTATCCGGTAATGAGTGTAAATAATTCAATATTCTGTTCTTCCATTCGTCACTTACTTTCTTAGATAACTCATGCTTAAAAGCGTAATATATATTTTACAAATATAATTCAAAATATGTGAATTTTTCTTGGAAGTATGGTGTACAACTTCTATCTATAGAAATATTCACCGAAATTCGTCATTTTAGATTACGTCACACATGTATACTATGGTACATTACTTACAAACATCAGGATGAAATGAGACACCCGAAGCTGGAAATGCCATTGTGTAAATACTATGTAATGATGACGTCAGTTCCATTTTGAATGACGTAATTTCGAACAACAATTTATCGGGCTACTGTGACAAGAAGGCTTGTTGCAATTCTAGGGCTGCGAACATAATTTTTGCCAAACATCAACCAGAATAATATTTCAGTCGTCAAATGACAAGTAGGAAAGTACGTAACAATATAAGTAATTGTCTGTTATAATAGACACTGGGGTCAGACCTTAACAAGACACAACTAAGTCGAAAGAGTTTTTAAACACATGAATACTAATGCGATTAAGTCCGTGTTTTTCGTGCAAATCAACCATGCAGTGCGCGCGCGCACACAAACACGTATAAAGCACAGTTGTCTGTTTGGTCTAAGAAGTTGCCAAGAACTGATTCATTGAATTTTCAATGAAATTTAGTAGAAGAACTCAGGTGAATCCTCCAGAGATAAGTACAAAGATAAGCAATCGGACTCTTGATTCTAGTATGGCAGCCATTTTAGTGTTATCTCCGTAATGCTACGAAGGAGGAAAGTGCTTCGGTAATTTCTATATCGCTTGTGATATCTTATTTAGGTTGATTTCGCGGACTCCTTAAAGTCTTTCATGTCAACAAGTTTAGAAAAAACGACCTTTATTAGAATAGAATATTAGAATATTCCAATATCAAACAGTTGTGTATATTAACCCTGATGAAGTCGCAAAGGCGAAACGTTGGTAAAAAAAAGATATATATTATATATATATATATATGGAGTATAAAGGTAGTTTTTTCTAAACTTTTTATCAAAATGTGTTAATCCCTCCAGTATGCACTACAGATTTTTCATATCAAAAGGAATAACTGTATTTAAAAGCAAAGTAACATTTTTTATATTTATACTATAGTATATCATGTCCATGAAGTAAAAAATTAATTCCTTCACCAAGCTATTTTTACTATATGATATTTCCTTGACAAATTATGAACAGGAAACAGTAGCTTATATTTAAATAAATAGAAATAGAAAGTTAAAAAATGGTGTCGAATTCTTTGTTATTCGTGCCTGAAAAGCATTTCACGATTATGAAATTACAAGTAAGTAACAAGTAGTCAGTGCACGATAAAATATATATATATATATATATATTGAAAAAATAAAAAACAAACGTTTTATGAAAACTTGGTAGTAAGCAGGAGTAATGTTGATACTGTTTCAGATTTTGTTTATACATACATACGTATTCAGATCGGTTTCATTCAAAACTCGATTAGGTAGTATTTTGGCAACAGGAAATTAATAGTTTTTAAGCCTGTTACCTTATAAATTTGTAGGATAAAAATGGCAGAAGAACTGATTAAATACTGTATGTTTTAACGTAGCTATTGGTGTAGTGCGGTCTATTTTCTTGATGCTTAATATTTAACGAAAACACGGAAATGTACAGATATTTTGGTAAACAGGTTCTCGAGAGTTGAATTGCTTAAGCTCTGAGTAAATCTCGAGTTTTTGTTCAATAGCACTTTGATCTAGAAATAGGCATTTACAGAAAGTCCATAAAATGGAACGCCTCTATAGCGTCTAAACAAATTGTAAAGTAGGTGGATGTTGCTATAGTGATATGTTGCTTGGCAACCATCCATAGGGAATTCGTCTTGACTTAAGCAACGAAAAAGCTGTATTGTTTTTAATGACACAAACTACGCTTTTAGAAAGAGATTCTTCGTTTACCGGGGAAAATTGTTGAACAAACAAATCTACATGTTCAAAGGTTTTGTTCTATACATTAATTATTTGAATCACAAAATAATGCTTTATTATCATAATATACGAGATATACGTAGATACAAAAGACCACTTCAATAACCACAGAAATCTACTTCACTGCCATATTAAATGCAAGAATGGCTAAATTGAGCCAAAGTCACATAGACAGCTAGTACATGAATTGCAGATTGCATAAACACCATAAAATGATTTTTATCAAATTTGATGCTTCTTTGAAAATAAGTGAGTAGCCTTGCAAGTCTTCCCCTTATTAGGCCACTGTCCATTCCATATTTCATTCCGTTCCGAGGAGTCTAAAGAATAAACTGTCCAAACTTGACTGGGCTGCTTAAACGTCTCGTGTTAAAGTTTTCTTTGTTGGAATGTTCCTGAATTTCCTAATGATACTAACACATTTTGTTATGTCCAGCCAGGTTGTAGTTGATGAATCGTTATTTCTGTGTACCTTTGTTTTCGTTTTGCCACTTTTCGCATTTAACATGGCAGTGGAGCAAATTTCCATGGTAACTATAGATTGTTCTGATTTTACTGCAGATATGATACACTGTACCAAACATCATCCATTTTGATGATCTACTGTAGTCGTATTATTGAATGCAGATTATATGTTGGATGTTGATGTTACTACCAAATTCAAAATATTGTTCAATTTTTAAATGCCGGATCTGCAATTGTTATTTAGATGTCAAACGGCGTTCTCAAACTTTCTTGCTTCATGACTCGTGACACAAACTTTCTTTTTCGTAAGTTATTTAAACGACAGTTGATAAAATATCTACTAAATAAATATTAGTATTTTCTTACGCTTTCAACATTCGGTACGAGGAAATGTCGTATGATTTATGGTGATTTAGATTTTAGATTATGTTTACATCTATCTGAAAATTTACGTTTTCGCAGCAAAACATATTTTTAATTCCCTGCGCCTCGTTTTATCGTGATAAGATTTGAAAGCAGACATTTTAAGATAAAGGACCATATCAGCCTTGCGTTGGAGCTCTGGATTTGGAAGCTGTCGAATCGTGTTTAATTCCATACAATTCCAGTATCCGAATTTTAAGCTGTGGGTGTGTTATAAGAGCGACATGAATGGTGGGTGATAGAGTGCTACTGATTGGCTAAGTTCCCCTGGCGAGTAGTTTAAAATTAGGGACGGCAGCAGATAGTTTTGCCATTAATACAAATTTTTAAACCACTATATACCCAAATACAGCTCACAAAGTTGACAGCAAAATCAAAGAAAGGAAATCTTTCTAATCATAATGATTTTTGGTTATTAAATCATTATAATCTATATTTCAATTGTTGTTTTTCTTATATTTGGTAATTGCAAGGATTCCATCAATTTCGATTCAATAGTAACCTAATATATAGTAGTATCTTTAATCTTTCGTGTGGAATAAATTTTTAAAAGAATTTCTAGAAAAAATAATAAATTTTGTTTGATTTTAGCGTAAAGCTACACGAAAGGCTATCTGCGCTCTATCCGTTGTGAGGAATCAAACCTCCGATTTTAGCGTTGTAAACCCATAAATTTACTGCTGGCTCATCGAAGGACAAGAGAATAAGGAAAATCATTATTTGTATTATTAAGTATAGTTTCTTGACTTAAACATTATCAAAATAATATCAAATAGCATTCTATTGTAAATTTAAGGACATGTATATATATATATATATATATATATATAT